TGTACTTTGCAGTGCCCCTCAATGTACTCGCGTGATTACCTCACAAAGCTGTTTTCCAAAGCCTCTGTGCTTTGCAGTGCCCCTCAATGTACTCTCGTTATTACTGTGGTGTCTGACTGCTCATGATTACTGGCTAGGCGATCTCCTCCATCCCCCTGACCCTGCATCAAATTTTCCCCTTTACAGCCTCTCTCCGACTTATGAACCGGTTACGGACCAAGCAATTGGTCGTAACTCGGTTCGTTCGTAAGTCGGACCCCATTGAGTTACACGCAACCACGCTGTTCGTAAGCGCGGATCGCATTCGTAACTCGGGGTCTGCCATTTACGACAGCTTTGTTCGTAACTGCAAACGGCTGTACGTCGACCATTCGCAACTTGGAGACCAGCTGTACTTTCACAGATGTTATGGCGCACACAGAAGGCTGCCCCAACAATGGGAATGTTGCTTTCACTGACGTCTAACCTAGTCAATAAAGTGTGAAACTTTCCCTTTTGATGTCCAAAAGCACATTGTACCACCATTCTGCACTTGCTCAGCCTGTAGACCACTCCTTACTGTGGACCCGGCTGCCTGTGTATGGCTTCATGAGCCATGGGAGCAAGGGGTAGGCTGGATCTCTAAGGATCACTGTTGGAATTTCAGTGCCTCTCATGGTAATTTTCTGGTCAGGGAAGAAAGTTCCAGCTTGCAGCTTTCTGAAGTGACCAGAGTTCCTAAAGATGTGCGTGTCATACTCCTTTCCCCACCATCCCACGCTGATGTTGGTAAAACAGCCCTTGCGATCCACCAGCACCTGCAACACCATTGAGAAGTGCCCTTTGAGGTTTACGTACGTTTTGGCAAGGTGGTCGGGTGCCAAAATAGGGATGTGCGCTCCATCTATTGCCCCTCCACAGTTAGGGAACCCCATCGTGGCAAAGCCCTTCATTATGTCCTGCATGCTTCCCAGAGTTAGTATCCTTCATAGCAGAAGGATATCGATTGCCTTGGGTACTTGGATCATAGCAGCCCCCATTGCAGATTTACCCACTCCGAATTGATTCCCAGCTGTCCAGTAACTGTCTGGCACTTAAACTACCACAGAGCTATTGCCACTCACTTCTCAACTGTCAGAGTGGGTCTCCTTCTGGTATTGCTGCTCTTCAGGGCAGAGAAAAGCAATTCACAAACGCCCATGAAAGTAACCTTATGCGTGAGAAAGTTTTGCAGCCACTGCTGATCATCCCATAGCTGCATAACTATGCAATCCCACCAGTCTGTGCTTGTCTCATGGCACCAGATCCGGCATTCCGCTAGGTCCAGAGGATCAACTGCCACCAGCATCTGCCGATTGCTCCACTCAAGTGTTTCATACATGTCTGTGTTTGTGGCCTTCTTGCATTCTTCCTCGCTCTGGCAGCTCCTGGCTATGCTCTGGACATATCGCAGCATAAGATGTGAGATGTTTGCTATGATTGCCATAGCACTTTGCAGCTGAATGGGGTCTATGCTTGCCCTGCTATGGCACCTGCAAGTATAACCTGGGAAAAAAAAGGCCGTGAAAAGATTGTTTGCCATTGCTTTCTAGCAAGGGGCAGGGAGTGGAGGGAGGAGATGAGTGCATTATGGGATGCTGAAAATATGTACTCAGAACCACCCACTGCACTGTTTTTGCCTTATCAGGCCCTGGGAGCCTAACCCAGAATGCAAAGGGGAAGCAGGAACTGTGGGATAGCTACCCATAATGCATTGCTGTCAGAGCTGATGGTAGCCACCCTATCGGGAATGCACAACTCGCACACAGTGGGGACATGCGCCTTCGATTTTACAAGGATGTTAAAAAATTGACCGTAATGAATTAGTCCTAATTTTGCAGTGTAGACAAGGCCTCAGATGACTACAATTTCAGTGTAGACTTACCATTATATCACTGTTGTTTCCAGTAGCCAAAGGGAAAAAAAGGCAGCAAACTAAGAGGAAGAAATCCCTTAATAAAACAGTGCAAGTGTATTCAATAAAACAAAGAAAAACTTGCCTGAGTATATTTATTTAAGAGCAAATATTTTTCTTTCCTGGGTTTGCTACAGAGCGAATGGCCCCCTATAAATAAAATCACTAGGTTTTTTTTGGCGAAGAACCGTGACCTATTGAATTATTTATCCATGTTTAGTTTAAAAAGCCTGACCCCAATTAAATGGTTATTCGTAATGTCATCGTGTCCATTCTGCAGTCAGATGTGCTGTGTGGTGTCTCAGGACAAGATGTCTGGCAAGCACTTAGGAAAGCAACTTGCCTCCCAGCTGACAGAGTGATCTGGTCCCAAATCTATCTTTCGGATGTTTTACTATGACATATGTGACTGAGTGCTAAGTTGCTTTATGAAATGATTGTTGGGAAAACTGAATACTTGGCCACTCATTGATGCTTCCTTTAAGAAGATAAATATTTTTGTTACCTTCTGGTTTGATGAAGATACATAGTCAGAGCTGACACAGGATGAACTGGAGCAGCCACTCCAGGCTCCATGCTTTTGGGGGCCCTGTGGTGGCCACCTCAACCATCCTATAGATGGAAGGGATCCAGGATTTATGGGGGCCTGGCATGGGTGGCAGTAGGAATTGCCCCTTTTCTCCCCATGTCGGGCAGCAGATGCCAGAGCAACATGGCAGTCAGCTCCACTCCGCCATACTGCCCTCTTCTGGCCCATTGTGCTCAGCTTCTCTGGAGCACCAGGAAGCAGAGTGCCCCAGCCCCAGGATGCTCCAGTTCCCACTGCTGTGGAGAAGTGGGGTGCAGCAGGCTGGGAGAGGGTGGCACAGCAGGGGGGAGCAGGCTGCCAGGCTGCTCTGGCTCCCAACATCTGTGTGGTGAGTGCAGGAGGGAGCGACCTGAGGAAGGGATGGGATGGGGCCTTTGGCTGGGGGATTGCCCTGGTCCCGAGGCCTGGAGCACTGTGGGGGTTGTCCCTGGCCCCGAGCCCCCCTTGGTATAGCCCTGTACACAGTGATTTCCTTGGAAGATGATTCATAGAATGGACCAAGTGATTAAATAGCAACGGATTTTGCCAGATTATGATTAAAAGCATAATCCTGGTCCCTTCAAGTTTAACTGGAAAGCTTCTTTTGACTTGAGTGGACCAGGATTCAGACATTAGAAACACAGGAAGGAGCAATTTGTGTCTTGCTTTCTTTGTCTTGTCTGTGTTTGCACCTTTATAAAGAAGATATCCCTATTAGCCAAGCACCGGACCTTGAATCCATGAGGAGAATCCCTGTTTGTTCCTAAGCACTCAAAGGCCAGGTCTACGCTAGACCCGGAAGGTCATCTTAAGGTATGCAACTGGAGTCAGCTTACCTTAATCCGTGCTTGGCACCATCTTCACTGTGGAAGGCTTCCCTTACTCCTCACAACTGCCAGAAGTACCAATGCCAACCAGAGCCGCCTTCAGCGTTCGATTTAGTGGGTCTTCACTAGACCCACTAAATCAAATGCCAGAAAATCAATCTCCAGTGCAGCAAGTGGCGATGTGCCCTGAGATTTAGAAAATCATGTGGTTTGATTTAGAAAATCTGCCACCAGCCAGATTTTTATGACAATTATTCATAACAATGCCAGCATCGCCAGACACTCTGGCCAAGCACATAAATGACGTCTTGTTGCCATAACTTGGAGTGCAATGGTCTCTCTATTTGGAAAGAATAATGGGCCAGCTATGCACTTTCTTATACCTCCTTGGAGCCAGGGTTAAATTAATGCAAACAATAGGAGCAATGAAAAGACTGGGGGAAACTAATCAAATGTGGCAGCAAAAAGCTTAACTGAGGAGCAAGCGTGGCTGGAGCCTGGTCAAGATGGGAAGGAGGTAGGAAAATGGGACCCACAAATAAGTCATTTAGCAGTTCTCCTTCCCCAAGCTTCCCAGGACTCCAGTCTTGATGGACCTACGATCTGATCCAACATGGCAAATCTTATATTCCTGTGGTCTTTCATCCTCCTCTCATTTGTTTTTCTTTGTTCCACTGTAGACTTACAAATCTAATTTTTTTTTAATTAGGAGGTATGTCAAGTCCCTTTTCCGGGGTTCTGGAGAGTTACTTTCCACTCTGCTGAACACTAACTTCAAATGACACAAATGACGAGCTGTTAAGATCACGGTGGCAATCAAGTCTCCTTTGATGGGAAAGCTAAAAATACGCTTCTCCAGCTGATGCAGCCTGAAAGAGGAAAATGTAGGGGCTGGTTGAAAAGAATAGATCTTTTTCTGTATGGCTGCCCTGCACGTAAATACAGGGACAGGCATGGTGGGTGGGTTACCAGGCTATTTCTGCCTTCCGAACTAGAACATTTACATGCACTCTAAATCTGAACTTGAACAGACCGTACCCTAATTAAAATGTGTCATTGTTTATGGGGCATTAGTAAATAGGGTTATTGCGAAGGGCCCTCCAAGAGTGAGCCATACAGTTCCCTCAATGATCAGTGGTTCAGGACATTGAAGAAGGAAGCCCATATCTCAGAGTTTGGATAAACACAACATTGTCAGTAGTCCTCAACCAGGAGCTGAAATGACGCACACAGGGGTTGTGATCTGCCAGAATCACAGTTGCGCCCCTCTCTTCATATTTGCCCTTGATCTGCCAACACCCAGCTAACTAAACACAGCTTGTGTTGCCTAGTGTCCCCACTAAATCCTTAGCCAAACTAAGCAGTCGTGGAGCTAACTACCAATTACCCTGCTGCCATGACTCAGCCTTTTTTGATATAAGCAGCTCCTGTTAAAGGCAATGTAGGACCAGCATCCCATCTGCCATGGCTGGAAATGTGAAATCACAGGGCAGGTTTATGTGCTGCATGGCTTTCCCTTTCAGCTGCTCGACCCTGCTTGTCTAAGACTGACTCTGAGGTTAGCAGTGGTAAGCAGAGTCCTAAATGATTTTGTTTCTAGGATAAAGTGGAATAGGGAGGAAAGAATCAGGAACTGGAGGAAGAGATATAAATAATAGCACTTACATACCAGATACAAGAATATATTTAATGTGCCCCAGGCTCAGTTGATTCCATATTGGTGGTGGAATTCAGTGAATGGAAGCTTTTGCACAGCACACAGCAGAAGAGAATTCCCTCCTTTTTTAAATGGAAATATCCTTCGTATAACGCATTTCATGTTTACGTACAAACAAACTGCTCTCTGTGCCTGTGGCCAGGAAAGCACAGAAACTTAACCAAGATAGAACGGACGGTACACCCAGTTGATGGTTTTGATAGATGAAGCAGGTTCTTTCATTTAGCCACGGTAGCAAGAATATTTTGGCCACACAATATTTGCCTCCAAAAGTTGTCAGTCCCGGGAAGAGGCGTTCAGGGTTGATCAGTGTCTGCCCCTGCGGATAATGGGTTTTTCCATTTCTATACCTCCGTCGGCAACTGCCCATTGCCGGCAGAGTGCTTGATGCTGCCGTTCAGAGTGTTGGCCTTGAAGGTATAAGACCGGCGTCTAACGGAACCGTCAGTGTAGATGCTCTCAGGCTTGTTCTGGCAGCTGAAGAACATGAGGAACCCGTTCCGGTAGTTCTTGTTCATCCAGCCATAGAGGAAGGGGTTTACAAATGTGGAGCACATGGCCACTACGTGGAAGACGGTGTAAAGGAGTTTGTACTCATGGAAGATGAGCACCAAATCCAAGTCGATGGCAAGCTGGAAGATGTGGAAGGGGAGCCAGCAAACGGCAAACACTACCACCACCATCACGAGCATTTTTGTCGTCTTCTTTCTCCGGCATTGGCTTTCGTTGCTGGAGGTGGGGCTGATATGATTTTTCAGCTTGAACCAGATCCTGATGTAGGCATAGCAAATAATGGCCAGCGGAAGGATGTACTGCAGAAGGAGCATGGAAAGGCTGTAAATGGTGGCATCTCTGTTATTTCCAGAAGGCCACTTCTCAGAACAGACGGCTATTCTGAGGTTGATAGATGGGATTTCCTCATACCGGTACTCTCTGAAGATGGCCAGCGGGCCGGCCAGTACCGCACCTGCCAGCCACGTAGTGGCTATGATTGTGAAACTGAGCCTCCTGGAGATCCTGCTGTCCAAGTGGAAAACAATGCATCTGTACCTATCCAGAGCTATCACGGTTAAGGTGAGGGTGGACACGTGGACACTCAAAGCTTGGGCATAAGGGACCAGATGACACAGAGCGGCCCCAAACTTCCACTCATCCAGCAGTGTGTATACCAAGGTGAAAGGCAAACAGAGAGTGTCCACCATGAGGTCAGCCAGGGCCAGGTTAGCAATGAAGAAGTTGGTGACAGTCCTCATGGTTTTATATTTCACTATTGTGTAGATCACTAAGGAGTTGCCGATGAATCCTAGCAGAATGATTAGGGAGTAAGCTGCGATCAGTATGACCTGGACTCCCAGGATGTTGGTACTGTCCATCATGATGCCGCTGGAACCTTGGAGACCCTGGCTGGGTGTGACGATGCCCTTGGAGTGCCAGCCTCGGGGAAGTTTCTCATCCAGGGCCAGCTCCTCCATCAGCAGGGTGCTGTTGGCTTGCGTCAGCAGCCTCATGCCTGGTTTGTCCTGTCAGGAGGCAGGGAGGCCTG